TCTCTCTCTCTCTCTCTCTCTCTCTCTCTCTCTCTCTCTTTGTCTCTCTTTGTCTCTCTGTCTCTCGCTTTGTCTCTCGCATTGTCTCTCTCTATCTCTCTCCATCTCACTTTCTCTCTATCTCTCCTTTTTACTTGTTGCTGTCCAGACACAAATCTTGAGATGAGAATGACGTTATTTGTTGTTCAACTTGAAGAAACATAACAATATATATACTGTTTTGCATCCAAATAAGGTCACTTGACAATTTATGGAAAGTGAGGGGATTTCATGTCTCAATGAACTAAAAAACAGAAAAAAACAAGTTTTTTTAAGATGAAGTAAGATTTACAGACTTATACTTGTATAGGGTGGAAGGAATGGCCCACTAAATTTTTTTTAGAGGAGGCTCAAACTTCTGAAAACAGTTCTGTTTCTCTTTTATGAGACCCAGAGTTGAAGTTCGACCTGCCATTTCCACATTCTATGTATGTAATTTGTTTTCTCAACTTGAAGATTTCTGTCTCACATTGTCCTTTCTTTTTTTTATTTGACATTTACTTAATCCTTATTTCTGAAATGCCCCGTTGGTTTTTATGATCTCTTTAAAAAGAAAATTAAAGGAACTAACAGATCAGCAACTTATGATAATAATAGTAATATATGGACCAGACTGAAATTATCTCAGGCTGCTTCTCTTCTAGAACAACAGAAAAAAACTCTTTGATTTACTCATGACATGTTATTACCATATCTAGTCTCATATCAGTGTCATTTTTTCATATTATGCAGCTTCCAGAATGCTCCTGAACTCTTTTTGAAAAATGAATTGCTTGGGAATGTGTTTTTCTGGGGTCAAGTCTCAAGTTGTTTAGGTTTAACTACCTTTCATCATACATCTATTCTTTAAGTTTAAACAGCGTCATACATCGTCGGTGCTTTGATGGAACCTCACTAACTTGAATTTTGGCTAAAATTGTTTGTTTTTTTGCCAAAAGATTCCTGGTCACTCACTTTTTAAATTTCACTTGACACGTTGAGGGACAAAGAAATTTTCATCTATGCAAAACATATAATAGCCCACTAGCCAGCCATCGGGACATCGTAAAATGACCAAGAGTATGTTAAACACTGTGCAAAGATAGTGAGGTTAGTAGTGGAGCGGCCAAAAGTCTGCTGGTGTTGCACTGTTCCAATCTTGCTAAGGCTTCTGTGAGGTTCACCGTTGCAGTACTTGAGATGAAAACCTCACTAACCAAAGGAGGTTTTATCTCAGACTCAGATTACGTAACATTGCACTCAGATAAAACACACACTTCATAGCAGGATTTTGCCAAAGGCCCATCGCTTTACACGGACAAAATTTGATTGCCTAAGTGTGAACATACACAATGTGAGACTTTTTTGTCACCCCTCCTGTAAAATTTTTTTATTCGAGTTGGCCAGGATCCGACGGAGGGCCAACAGTGTGTATTATGAATTGCTAGTTGCAAGTTCAGTACAGATGGGAAACTCTGGTCTGCAATCAAATTGGATTAGACTTCTTGGTACCAGGTTGTGTCAGAAAAACTTTAGACAAAGCAGCCTGACTGGGAGCTTTATATGGTGAAAATTGTGTGTGCCAATCTACTGCACTGTGTTCCAGGCCAGTTGTGTGCATCATCGTGGTAATCTACTGTGTAGTGCAGCTCAACTCCTGTTCTAAGAAGTAATTTCTACAGTCCCAATGAGACATACTTTCACAATATGGCCACCACATTCTAACCTTTTAGTGTCTCTATTACATACCAAAGCAGACTCATCAATTCTTAGTTGTTTTTTTTAAAAAGAAACATACTTTTGTTGAGTTTTGTCGGGAATTGTTGACATTTGGCCTTTTGTCCATGTTATGACTGGGTTTAGGGGAATATGAGGAGTTGGTTTTATTTTTGTGTAATATAATTAATTGTATTATGTTCTCCTTTCTTTTGTCATAATGATAAGTGCCTGCCTCATTTTTGTGAGACATGCTGTTCACCAGCTTGTGCCTCTTATGTACCTTTTGGTCAAATATTGATAGCAGCTCCCACCTTATTTTCCTTATTGATTTATTGTTCTCACTCTTGTTGATAAACTACCTTGGAACAGGTAGTCAAAAAAATTCTGCTTCTTAGAGACTGAAGTATTGGCCTATCTCAAAAAGAAAGAGAAAGATATAGCGGTAAAGACAAGTGTTTCACGTCTAAAAAGACACAAAATGACCTTATACAATGCAGACTGCTGATTTTTTCTTGCATTCACAGTAACAGGTAATTTTTAAAAGATAGGTTTGTATTATTATTGCTTTAATTAGCATCATCAGCTGCATCATTACATGGCATAACAGTAACAGGGGAACAATGCAGCAAAAACACCCTTGTCTCGGATCATGCTACAAAACCCACTCTTTCTGGTACCCGGACTGATTACAATGCCCATATTCATACCTTCAATAATCTTACATGTACAAAAGCCAGTTGAGAAATTTTTAATGCTTTTTGTACAACGTAAATAAGGCTTGTCTGTTAAATCATGTAAAGGTGAAATACTCCTGCTCTGGATGAGTTTTTTAATCTTCCTTTTACTCTTTTCTTTCTTGTTCTTTCTAGCAGAGTCTGTATGCACACACACGCACACACACACACACACACACACACACACACACACACACACACACACACACACACACACACACACACACACACACACACACACACACACACACATACACACACACACACACACACACGCACACATACACACACACACACACACACGTTTCGGCTATTCTCAAAAAAGGCAGCTTGATTGGTGTTCCTCGTTTCCTTCATTGCGACATACAAAGAAATGAACAAATAGCTCTTTTTGATAGGAAATAGAACATATTCTAAGATTTACTTAATAAACACCAACAATTTTGGAAAAAGCAGTTTTTATTGTGGTTATTTTTCTTGCAATGGTAATGGATGTCTTTTATAAGGTGTGGAAGTGGTAGTTTGGTTTGGGGGGGGGGGGGGGGGGCGGAGGGGGGAGAAAGCTGAAAGCAGAAGACATTTTTTTTACCCAGGCAGGTTTCGATCCTTGGATGTTTGACTCAAGACCACAAGAATCTGCAACTGTAAAATGATGTTTAAAAAAACTCCTAAAACACAAAGAATAGATTGCATTAAAGTAGAAAAAGCTTAAGAATTGATCGCTTGAAAAGCCAAACTTTTCGGAATGGCTCCGACAAATATATTTTTGTATAAATATGTAAATATATTATCTCTATATACAAATACTTTGCTAAATCTTTTTCTTTTTTGTGTCATCTTGAGCACATAACGTTTTTCCTTCACCTTCCTCTCTCCTTGTCCTTGTATTCACGGTCAAGTCACAGTATTGTAACTCTGAAAACTTTTTAAAGGCTGCATCTCGGTACTTTTTACAGGATCTTTTTTTCATCATCATTCATCATCATTATATGTATTGATTATAATATAAATTTTACATTCATGAGAGCCAGGCAGATTGCTGTGATAACATAATGTTTTACTGTTTTGATTTTGCATCAAACGTATTCTGTAATTGTGATTGATTGCTCCAGATCGTTTTGTAATTTCCCTTTGAAATTGACATTTTTGCCACAATGGGAAGTATTGAAGGTGCGAGAAATATAAGACGGAGCAGTAGACCTTAATTGTTTCTATGATTTTTATAGCTATTCATTAGTCTTTGTCTTTGGTGTTGACATTATGAATGCTCATGGAAAATACTTTATCTATTGGTCTATGTGTATATAAAATCAGCAGGACATTTTGCTTTGCAGCTTATATGGGAAGGTCAAAACACCCCAAAAATATTTTACAGTTCATATTTGTCAAGATTTAAAAATGTTTTTACCGCTATGTGCCGTGTCAAATTGTTTGTTTCATCACTTACTACACTTCTCTTGAGCAGGCTTTTGAAAATGGATTCAGCAGGGGACTCTCCAAACGCTCATAGATGGATGGTTCTTTAAGTATTAGGTAATTGCGCACCATGATGAATCAGACTTACGAATCCTTAATTTTTTAAGAGATATTGTTGTTTTCAAATCCCTTTAGCTGCGAGTATTTCGCTCTTGGCAGCGCAATGCCTCCCTCAAGTAACCACATGTCCTTGTCATCTGGTCAACGGCAGAGTAGAGCAGGCTTTGTAAGTCTGTAGGTGTGTGTAGGAGCTTGCGTCGAAGAACTGCCAGGTTTGGGCAGTGAAGGAGAAGATGTTCAACGGTCTCCTCGTGGTAGTCACAGTGTCTGCAATGGGGTTCCCACATGGGGTTGATTCTGTTTATGTGCTTGTTTTTTAAGAGATAGAATGCTGTTTGTTTCATTTGTGCTTCACTTTCAACTGGTATAGATATATAAAGTCATAGATTTTATTTATCATCAAATATTAATGTGAATTATATAGCATCTCCTCCTCATCTACTTAAAAAAAAAAAAGATACTTTCTTCATTCGCTACAAACAGTAATGATATTAATTGTTTTCTAAATGTCATATTAACATACAAATGTAATAATATCTTATCCTTACCCTCAAGAACTGAACATTTACTACAGTGCTTTTTGAAATATTCAATCATTTTGCAGCAGAAATGCTTCAGTTTTAAGGAATGGAGATGTTTACAAAATAATTGTGAAGATTTATAATTGTAACAATATAATTTGTACTTTGTACAAGTTCACACTGCATGGTCACTTTGCAAACACGCTCACTTTTTATGGATGCCTCTGCTTACTTTGCTTTAAGTCAGGATATTATCCTTTGACTACAGTGCTAATTTATTTGTTCATTTCGATATTTTTAGAGCATTCTATTACTTCTGTTTCAGAATTATTTACATATGTTCTTGCTTTGCCTGGGTTCCTACATTCACATTAAAAAATAAAATGTGTTGATCAGATTTTTTTACTCTTCCCCTTCTTCTTTGGATACTTGTCACAATCTTACTGAAAGCTTTTCAATACTGTAAGTATGTATTCTTTTACAAGAAAAGTCTCTTTTTTTTTACATATGGTTTTGCTTTAATACTTAAATGAGTTAAGGGAAAGCTTTTTGAATTCATAAAAATATATCAGGACAACATTCTATGAGAAGACACATGTGTGCCTTTCAGTGTTAGAGATTATATGTTTTTACTCACTGATAGGCTCCTGAGAGGTGCTGGGGGTTGTTCAAAATCTACTCGCAATCAAGGATGCATTCCAAATTTACTTTGACAAGATCAGTTTTGAGGATGAGCGACAACAGATTTGGAGCTAGAACTGAAGAGCAAAAAGACTAAAGTTTACATGTATTGCTGGTGAGAAGGTCCCAAAAAACAGTGCACAAGGGAAAATGCCAATGGAGTGTACCTGTTTCCTCCATTCCCCGCACATAAAGCAATGCATCACTGTCTTAATTATCCTAACAACCTGAAAAAAAAAAGTATGCGCTCAATGCATAAATCAGAGAAGTCTCTGTTCCCAGTTGGGCCACTGATCTCCCCCCTCTATTTGAGCTGTTGATGTTATTTTGCGAGGTGCATTTTGTTTTGAGAGTATAGATCTAGATCTTATAATTTTTTACATCTCTCAAGATATATTGCCCCATTCCAGTAGAGTGTATAAAGTAGGCCAATGACTTTCAGTTGATATTAAAACACCGATCATCCCTTTCATCTAAAGGGGGCCCAGCTAGTATATTATATGCTGATACCCCTGGGAAATTACGTTTCTGGAAAGGAAAAAGAAGAGGGGGGGGGGGGTTCTTTGTCACTTGAGACGGTTACGTGGAGGGAGAGCCAGAGACAAAGACATAAGGACACAATGATTGAGAAGGGCGGAAGGGTATTGGGGTACTTAAGGTATGACTAGGCTGTGAATATACATTGAAAATGAAATAAGATAAAATCATGTTAGACAAAGATAACATCAATGTTTGCTTTGAACAAGTTAAAAGTCCCAAAACGTCGCCTTTTTCGGTTTGCATTGTGTATGTGTAGCCTGTACATGTGTACTTTTGTTCATGCATGTGAGTATGTGTGTGTGTGTGTGTGTGTGTGTGTGTGTGTGTGTGTGTGTGTGTGTGTGTGTGTGTGTGTGTGTGTGTGTGCGTGTGTGTGTGTGTGTCCTGGCTCTCCTATAGGCAACAGGAGATGGTATTGTCATTGATAATTTAATCTTATCAAATAGAAAAGGCAACCTCCCTCCTTTTCTAAAGGGGTTTCTCGTGGTCTAGAGGTACCGTTTTTACCTCTCATTCAATTGGTTCCGGGTTCGATACCTGACAGCAACTGAAAATTTTCCTCTCTAACTCTAGAGAAATTCTCCTTTCACCTAGATCTAGATCTACTCTTCTTCTTTCTAACCATGTTCTGTCGTCTGCTTTCGTCTCCACTTTCTCCCCCCCCCCACTCACTTTTGCTCCATCCTGACTCTTTCTGCTGCCTCTGCAACTCTTGGCTCTTAAAAATCTTACAGCTGTCTTTCAGCCTCATCCATGATCTTAGAGTTGGTAAAATATAACACCTGGCCTTCTCAGATAAGGACGAAAAAATCTCAGAGGTCCCGTGTACAAGTTGCACACGTTAAAGATCTCTTGGTGGTCCTAAAATCGATCAGAGTAGGCTTTGACCCAGGCCTTCAAAATAATATCAGCAATAGAACATATTAATGTTTTGAAAAAGAAAACTTCGAAATAGATCTAAGGCGATAATAGGGTCTATTCACAGACAGAGCGAAACTAGGATCAATGACTATTTCTCCGATACGTATTGTTTTTGTACATTAGGAGGGCGAATAACGTTTCATGATTTTTGTTACTTTAAAACATAAAACAAACAAACTTAGATATATATACTCTTTTAATACAAACATTTATGCAAAAACTCTGAAAAATCAAATTTATATTCAAGTTTAAGAGGATTTTATCTTTTTTTGAATAACTTCCGAGAACGTCCAAGATACCACCAACACGTACAACAATTGTAAACTACGGCATCATATTAGCATCTAAAAATGGCGGATTTACGTGTTGAGGAGCTGAGGAAAGCCATCAAAGGTATGGGTTCTTTTTCATTATTGTATTTTTTTAAACTTTGATTTTCTGTATTCTTAATTGATCTACTCTCGTTGTTGGTATAAAAATTTCCTATCAGCAGTACTGGAACGAATATGAAGATGTGATTTGTCTCTCTTGAATCTACTGTCAGTCTCAGACTCAGAGTCAGTTCGACTTACTTTAACTTACCGAGTCTTGTTGTGTTGTCAGTCAGTGTTGTAATTGTAACATTTGAAATTTAAGTTTAGTTTAACTTGTAAGTAAGTTTATAGGCCCACGACTTGCCCCTGGCCTGGCCCCTTCTAGACTGGAGTGGAGTTAAGACGTAGGCTACTAAATCTAGAGATCTAAAATCTAGAAGTCTAGATCTAGTCTTGAATAATGAATAAGACAAGAAGCCACAGCCACTTTTAAGCGGATTTGTCTTAGAATGGCCACCTAGAACTAGAATAGCTCATTCGGGCCCATTGGCTATTCTCACCCGCTGTGCCTTCGCCATGATAGGCCAACCAATGTAGCGTTCACCGTGAACAAACGTTCCAGCGCTCTTGTGTTGAAAGCGTGCAATTTTGTCTGTGGGCAGTGAAAGAGAGAGAGAGAGAGAGGGTGGAGATGAGGAGTATCGCGAGAACTTCCGGGAAAAACTAAATGGCGACCCGCATAGTTCGGCTCGATTCGAAAAGTTTAATAGCAGTAGCATCTTTTTGTAGAGGACCAAATGTGGGTGGTTGGCGGGTGTGGTTTGCTTTCTTTCCTCTATCAAACATCTATCGTCCTTTTCTCCTCTTCTTCTTTTTTATGTTTATTGCTCTCTTGTAACACCTCTAATCTTCTGGCGCTCATATGACCTTATGCAGTTGCGAGCGCCGTAAAGGAAGTGGCTATTCTCACCCGGGGTGAGAATAAAAATACGATCGACCTCTCACCCTGGGTGAGACTTGCCACCGTAGGCTATTCTCACCCTGTGTGAAACAAGACCTGTTTTTCCTAATTTCGGAATACTTTCTATCGATGTGGATTATCAAATGGATAAAGGCAAAGAAAAGATTACGTTATAGCACAAAAGTAAGCTAATTTTATTGACTACAAAGATGCTACGGCTCTTTAACTTTTCGAATCGAGCAGAACTACGCGGGTTGCCATTTTGTTTTGCCCGGAAGTTCTCGCGCTACTCCTCTCTCTCTCTCTCTTTCTCTCTCTCTCTCTCTCTCCACTGCTCACAAACAAAATTGTACGCTTTTAGTAGGCTAACAGTAGTAATGGAACGTTTGTTCACGGCACAGAATTCTACAATTTTTCTGTTATCACAGTGTAGAATTCTGTGGTTTAGGGTGTTGAACGCAAAATTAGTTGGCCTAGATCTAGGCTATAACGGTGAACGCGCACCGGGTGAGAATTTAGCCAAAAGACTCGCCTGCACTTTTCTCACCCGGGGTGAGAATAGAGGTGGCCCGCCGTAAAACCCTCTACTAAAAAAAATAAAAATAAAAATAAAAAAGAGGACCAAATTAATTTACTTTTGTGCTAGATCTAGATCTAGAATCTATAACGTCATTTTTTTCGACGCTTTTTCAGTAGTTCCCACCCCGCCATTGTTATTTGCGGATTTTGGCCAAGAGTAAGGGGGGGGGGGGGTTCAGGGGGGCTTGCCCCCTAACTAATAAAAATAAGGCGGCGGGGGTTCCCCCCCTAATTTTACCATAATTTGATGTTTTGCAGTTGTTAGGTTTGATATCTTAGCTTGCCGCGCATCAAACGTAGATCTAGACGTAGATCTAGGCTAAAATAAGGGGGTGGGAACTACCGAAAAAGCACCATTTTTTTCTTTGTTTTTGTGTATCTCATCATCCACACTGATAGACAGTATAATTCCGAAATTAGGAAAAACAGGTCTTGTTTCACATCGGGTGAGAATAGCCAATGCTGGCAAGTCTCACCCGGGGTGAGAGGTAGATCGTATTTTTATTCTCACCACGGGTGAGGATAGCCACTTCCAATTAGAATTAGAGAGAACGACAACTAAAGTCTAAACGCCATGGCCATTGGCCGATATTTGTAGTAAAAGCCATCTTGTTTGACGTCATTGAGGGATTCCCACTTTGTTGTCATTCTTGGTAGCAACACGACAGCACGACGGCAGCCTGCCGACTCGGATTAGTAGATTCAATTTTTGTTTTCAACTTGCAGAACTGATGGGTTCGGTTGTCTGTGATTGTGCAGCACCCTTCTTATTTATTCTGATGCTGTACACTAGGTAAACTGAGAAGAAGACTAAGAGTAGGCCTACGTCAATTTGGATAGGCTACGAAAGCAAGTTCAACAAAGTCCAACGACACGCAGTGCAAATGATGGATCATTTCTTTTAAAGTTTTTTCAGCACACAAGAAATTATGCACTTACTAGAGATTGGACTCAATAAGACGCTGAGCTGCAATTGGAGTAGAACTACAAATGTAGATCTTATAAGGAAGGGTGTAAGGAGCTTGGAAACTGCCAGTGCAAACGGTGCGCTATGCAAAATCATCACTAGCCTAGATCTAGGCCTAGATATATATAGAATCACAATCAGATGACGAGGCAGGCATCCACCTTGCGAAGTCAAACAAGATTGCTGTTACTATAAATATCGGCCAATGGCGTTAAGTTGTCGTTCTCTAGTTATCCGCTTGTAAGAATAAGACTTCTATTAGAATAGAGTTTTTTTCCCCTCTAGTCTAGGTCTTAGTCTTAGTGAGGATTATTTTCATTTAATTTTCTGTCTCATGTCATGCCATGTGGAGTCCCCACACAACATAGTACTAGATCTAGTACCTAGACTTTCTAAGAGACTGAATTGTGTCAAGACAAGGTGGAATCCGGCGCTTGTCAATTTTTGGGCAAGTGGAGTTATAATTGGTATTTCCCCCTTTTAAACTCTTGTCCTGCGTCGTGTTCCGAGATGCAACCTATTACGTCTTATCAGCAACCTATTACGTCGAACGTTCCGGATGGCCGAGGTCACTCAGCGTGTACCATTGGTGTACATCGAGCGGCCTTGGAAACGTGTGTTTTCGCTGTGATTACCGTGGGGGTGTGTTAACTTTGTCCTGCATGTTGTGCCGAGATGTGAATCTTATCAGCAACCTATTACATCGGACATTCCGGGCGGGCCGCCGGGGTCACTCAGCGTGTACCGTTGGTGTACAGGGAGCGGGCCTGAATACCGTGGGAGTGTGTTAGTGGATGAAGAAAATAACAGGACCCGAACGGAACATGGGTGATGCTCTGTGCATGTGCGTTGAGCCAGGCCTGAACTGACACTGGACCAGAACGAAGGCGAGGTGCCGAAATAGGCTTATCGGGGAACATTATAAACCTGGCTCCTGCAGGACCAGGGTTAAAGCTTTGGCATTCTCTTCCCCGGTTTTGGTCCCAGGAGTACTGGATTATGAATCTATACACTCTGACTTTGAAAGAAAGCGAGAGATGCACTGATATTTTTCAGGTATTATTTTACTCATAGACCCGTCCCAAGCTTAGATATTCTAAAGCACTTTTCTGGTTTATTTTTAACTGCTTTACACAAATTTTGACTTTATGTCCACTGCAAGTTATTAGTTTTTATGAGATTATGGATTGCTATATATAACTATTCTACAATAGTACCAATGGCATATATTTGAATTTAACTTGTTTTTAACAACATGGAGGGTACATGCATGCTCCGCCTGCATTTCACCATGATTTGGTATTTTAGTAGCAAAGGGCTTTCGTGGCCATGTGTTCTGCAGTGAAAATTTAAGTAGTTTAGCCCTCAAAACAGTGTATCTGCATGCGGGTCTAAAAGTAAAAAATTACAATTTTTCCGTATAAAATAAGCAGTAATATTACTAATATTTCACATGTTTTTAACAAGGGGGGTTTTAGGGGAAGCTTGTCCTCATAAAAACATGTTAGAGAGGGGGGGTTGATGTCTTGTAATTCAATTAGGTTTAATATCTTTTGCTCGCTGTGCATCAAACATATCGGCACGCGTGTCGAAAAGTAATCGTTTAGAATCAAAAGTAATCTTCGGTGAAGCCAAAACCCACACTTCATAGTTTTTTGTTGGGGCCAAAACCGGATTATCCGAAAGCGTGTACATTTGCCTTGCTTTCGACTAAAGAAATATCCATTTATCGTGAATACAAGTCGAGATATTTGCGATTGAATGAGGTGGGATTGCTGATTGCTTGGTTTCAGAGGTAAAATTAGCAAGAAAATGGTTGTCTAAGTTTGGTTATATTTTCCATGCTTGAGAGACCATGGAAACTGACATTTTTACATTTTTTGCTCTGCTAGAACTGGTCTCACTGGCCATTGCAGAAACTACAACTTGTCCTCTTAACCCTAAATTTCTTTTATTTTGCTTATTAAGAAATTTTAGAAATATTCTCCTGCCTGGAAGAGTTGGTCATCATCAGACGTTGACAGGACTATTATTATTATTTTTATTATTATTATTATTATTTATGTTGTCTAAAGATTTCTCTTTACAACAAGACAGACCAAGGACTGTTGGACAAGAACAATATATGTATAAATTACAACTAAAGACTAAATGCAACTGATGATGTTATTATTACAGTGTTTTACATTTTATCGTTGTATTTCTCTTTTAATGCTATAATAACTCCTCAGGCATCCTCAAAGGAGCAGATCTTGACAACCTTTCTACGAAGAAAGTGAGAAAGCAGTTAGAACAAAAGTTTGACACAGATTTGTCTGAGAGGTGAGTTTACCATTTGTATTCGTCGGGGCAGTTGTAGAATAGGATGAATTTCAAAAGTTTCAGTTTCGGTTTCCATAGAGTCAACAAAGAAATGTGCTTGCTGCTTTCTCCTTCATTGTTAGCTCTAGCAAACTTGCATAGAATGTGCAGTACAGTTGAAGGAATGAAAATAAAAGCAACCACAAGATTTTAAGAGGGAGCTTTCATATGGACTCAAGTTAATGATTGTCCGGTTGTGAAAACTTATGGGATAGAGCCAAATGATACCATCTTTAAGTAATTATATTGTAGAATCTGTAGATGGCACTTCTGACTGAAAACGTGAAACACCAAAACTTCAATTTATGACTTTGTGTCTCATTGTATTTGACATGCTTTTCGAAGCTATAAATTCATAATCACACCCATACACCTAATGGCCATTAGCTCTGACTGGTATGTGTTTCTTTTTTCACTCAGTTTCAGTGAAGTCTTCAGGAACAAAATATGCAAGAGAACAAAAGTGACTTTTTGATTATTCTAAATAACAGCACCAAATTGTGGACTACAACCCCAGGGAATATAATCTTTTCTTGATTTTTATCCACTATAAAATGTGTTTCTTTTAAATCTTTACATCTATGCTGTGGAGCATGATGTGATTGTTTGAGAACAAAGAGACGTTAGGCTTCTTAGCCTTGGTTGTGTACAGCAATTTAAATTATTTTGAATAATTCAGTTTGTTCTAAAAAATGTATTATGTTATTCATAAATATACTTGTTTTGTTGTCTCAGGAAAAAGGAAATTGATAAATTGGTCATGGAAATGATCAATGACGAAGAAGAGGAAGAAGAAGAAAAAGATGAAGAAGCAGCTGCAGACAAGGAAGACAGAACAGAGGCAAATTCCGATGATGAAGCTGAGGCAAATGAAGATCAGAATGGTGCTGCTAGTGAGGAAGAGTCAGAGGATGAGGTAATGGCAGTCATTATCCTGTGGTGTGCTGGTTTTTGAACCTGAAGTCATTTGCAGGCTTGTTTGAGCTGCTGAGTTGTCTCTGGGAGTTTTTGTATGTATTTATGAGGCACCTTTATTGTCGTTATGTGCCGGGTCATGGGAATCATGGGAGTTGTGTTGTCTACTTGTGTATTTCTTGAATGAAGGATCATGTTGATAGCTCATGGGGAAAGAGAACAATCTGTTTTCTCTTGAATCAAATTTTTCTGTTGGCCTCTCGATGTGGTGTGTTTACAGGCAAAAGAGATTGTATTGTTCCTTTCTTAAACATATAAGGTTTTTAAATTTTTTTACATGTCTTTCGAGTGAGGAGTTCACTGCCATTGACCTGGTGCATGTAATATTATAATGAGGTGTATGGACAGTGCATGGGTGGCAAATGGTTCAGATTGTCTTGTTCTTGGATGTATGTCATGTTTTGAAATGGTTTCAGTTCTCTGCTTGAAATTTTGGTGTCATGTAGAAGGCATATTGTGTTGCTGAGTATTAATAATATGGTTATCTTTAATTAATTATCCTTTGAATTTACAAGTTGAATCAGATCAGCTGGTTTTATTACAAAGCCACATCAAATTAGATAAGTTTGTTTATTAGGACTTGAATGATAATCAGTTTTTAAAGGAGAGAAAGGGTCTGACAGTGTCTTGCTATAAGTGAGACTGAGATGGGGCAAGGATTTTTTTTTTTAAATAAGACTCTGTGTCTCGTGAGAAATAACCTTGTGTGTCTGCAACACTACTGATTATTGGATAGTTTTTCATTGTCTTTTGTATTCTTAAAATGCTTGTGCAGTTGATAAAACTTTAATAAAACCACTTTTATTTGCATCAGGTTCCAAAGAAGAAAGCGAAAAAGTCAACATCTTCATCATCAGCAAAGGTATGGTGTATCCGTATTTTCTTGTATGGGCTGACTTTATGGTTATCATTTATCTCATTGAAATGTGTAGTATAATAAAACGTTCATGGAATTCTGACTCTAAGTGAAGGATATAGGTACCCCTGGCATATGAGATTTCTTAAAGTTTGGAAGTTGAGTGGTCTAAACTCAGTGAATGACAAACGATGGGGCTAGAAGCTGTGATTTATAGTAATGAACTCGATTTTCTGGTGACAGAAACCTCCAACAGATAGATCAGCTAATGCAGAAGTAAATCTGTCTTACATTCTTTAATTTTGACGTCTCTGGTGTCTTTAAAAGGTTAATTTGCAATATTGATCAGCTGCTGAAGTGTGCTCCGTCTTGTTTTGTTTGACACTGCAGAAAATTTACATCGAGTGCCGTAGAACATTTTGTAAGGTGCCATTTTCAAGTGTGGAAAGAGCCTTCCTAGAAATAAATTTTCCACTACCTAAAAAAAAATGGTATGCGGGAAGTATATCAGGGAGTCCTTTAGTCTTTTGCAGTACAAAGTCAATTTTATTTACAGATTGGGAGTCTCTCCCCTCAGAATGTCATGGGCATGATGGGATCAGACAGATCGTTTTCACAATGGTGTTTATTCAAAATACAAGGCACAAAATTTGTGGATAGCCAACTCTGAATTCATTTTTCACTGTGGTAGAGTAACTTACATAATATTTATGAGAAACGATTGATCCGACTCTTTATCTTATTTCCTTATGTAGGGAAAGAAACCCAAAACAACAAAACAAAAAAGAGCAACTGTTTTTCAAGTACTTAGCTAGGTCAATATCATTCTTAGGAGCATAATGATATGAAAGTTTTTATAGTTAACCTTTGACTGCCATTATACCTGCACAAACATTCACCTTTTTAATAATATGCTGTCAAATTTTCACAAATTTAATTCTCAACTGTTCTTTAATGAATCACAGCTTCCTTTGTTGAACATACGCAATGCCTAAAAAAATAGAAGACTTTGTTAACGAGACTTTGAAAATTGTTTTTTGTTTCGGAAAAAAAATGAAGACTTCCGGCTGGTATTGGAAAATAAACAGAAAAATGTGTGGATTTTTTTCCCCTTACTTTTTGGGATATTTTTTGGTTTTCTGGTATCAACATTCAAATGCCTATATCTCTCTTATGTTCCGTTCAATCTTCTTCGTCTTGGCAGGGGGTACTCCTTTAATCTTTTGCTACTTACTAGTAACGCTATACCTTGACATTTTTCCATTGATTTTAAATTTGTGCACTTTACAGTCAATGGCTCAAGTCTTTCTTCATAAAGTATGTTTGACTATAAGTTATTATGGCCTGTATGAATATTTGATTTTTTGCCTGTTGATGGCATGAAGGCTAGGGTGGCGCAAGAGATCTTTAAATAAAATTTCTTATCACTTTCAGCCAAAGTCTGCTAAGCGAAAGTCAGCAGGAAAAGCAGATGACAGTGAGGATCCTGTGATGTCCAGTATCAAACAGGTAGCTTTTGTAGTGTTGAGCACTGTAGCTGTGTTTTTGTGTTTCTTAGAATAGCCATGTTCTTATCTTTTATGTTATTGGGAAAGGAAATAGAGCTGTCTATGCTTCCTATATCTGTATGTTGGATGGTCAAAGGTGTGTGCAGGTTGCAATGAGTGTCTTTCTTTTTCTTTTTTTTTTTTACCTCTAAGTAACTTTGTGGTGACTTAATGTGGGTTCACCTATGTGAGGTGAAAACAGTTGTCTTTAGTGCCAAGTGTAAATTAAAGTGCAATGTTTATTAAGGTACCCAGGTAACCCCTGATAACACAGACTTCATGTGACAAATTTGTTTGTGTGGAGCAGAATGCCAATGAAAAGAGCAAAAAAAGGAGAGACGGCTCCTTTCTGATTGTTGTCACGAGAACCGCCAAGATCACTTGCAAGACCTTGTGTTACCTGTTTTTAGTCATTAATAACACATATAGAGCTGCCAACTTTAGAAACTAGAAGAAGGGAAGCTTTAATTTCCACCTCAGAAGAATGCCTTGACTGCACAGAATGAGTTTCAAGGGAGGTTGTAGCTACTTCTCTTGATGGATTTTCTGCACGAGTACTCAGTTTAACAACCAAACAAAGAAACGTTTTCTTGGTCTTTGAGCATAGTTACCGCAAGACATAATACATTTTTGCTCACTTTTTTTCTTAGATGGATGATGAAGATCTTGCCAAAAAATTACAGGAGGAAGAATCAGGTCTCCGTCGAAGAGCGGCTCGCAGAGCAGCCCCTCAAGTAAGATGTTAATTTCTTCTGTTGGTTATTTAAAGCGGAATCTGAAGGATTTTTTTTGTTTGCTTCTGTAAAACTTCTCTTTTTGTTTAGATTTGTGGATTTTCGGTTTGGGAGTAGAGGAGGATTATTTAATTGCCCAGAAGAATGCTTGCAGTGAAAAAGTTGTTTGTACGACAAAAAACCACAGAACATTTTGGAGCTTTAAGCATTCAAAAATTTTATCAAGGACCCATTCTTTTGCAACTAAAAAGTCTCTTTATTACTATGATATTACTGCTATTTTTGTACTGGATCTAAAGTGACATCTGATTTCTCACGCTCCCCCCTGCCCTTACATCATCATTAACTGATATTTGCTGGTGTTTTTTTTCCTTGAAAATCACTCTTTTGCAGAAATATATCAGGTAGGCCCATGTTCTTTGTGAGGCTGTGTGGTGCAGCGTTTTATTTTTACCTATTTTGTCAAGAGAATTAAATGTGCAAAAATTCACATTCATTTTGTGCACGCTGCTGCACAGGAACCCCAAGATTAAAATAGTAGTAGAAATAGTGCACAAGTAGATTATTATAGGCTTAAATGCATGTATTTTATGATCAAAGCTCAATTATTTTTGTTTCTTACGCAGTGCTGTTTTAAATCGGGTTTGCTTTAATTGACGCCGTACAGTTCAATAGACAAAATTTTTATTTCTTCCAAAGATCATGTTATATGGCTTGTTATGGAGACAGAAAAGAAGGAGGTGGCGGGCAGATCTAAATTTTTTAGAACTGATTTCATTGCTTTACTTCCATCCAATCATGACGAAATTGATAGCAAATGGATTACCATTTTGAAATAAAAGAAATTGCTAGTATTTGGCTGCTTTTTGGACTGATATAAACAGTGTCTTGAATATTTTTGGGGGATTTATTGACTTGGGGATGCCTGTGGATGTAAATTAATACAGTCAAACCTGTCAAAGACGTTCACATGTTGTGGAGGAGAAGTCTGAAAAGTTATAATCTCTGACAGATGGTCCTCTTGGTCAGTGTCATTATAAATTAGAAAAAACACAAGGTGGGAAGTGATTGTTTGTTCAGGTGATTGTTTTGGACAGATGGTTGTTATGACAGGTTCGACTGTATTTGTATTGTATGGTCTCTAAAAATCTGGTTTAGCAATTTGCTGTTACCATCACGGATAATATTGAGATTTTTAAAAATGTCTTTATTCCTATTTTGTGTCACAGCCAAAGCCAAAAAAGAAGGAAAAAGAAAAGGATCCTGATCAGAAAAAGAAGAAAAGTAAGTAGTTTATTCTTATTCAGGCCCAGTAAAAGAACAAAGTGTCTCGCATTGCTTAATGTATAGTACTGAAACAGATCTGTGTTCATTTTTTATTTCATACTTGCTGAAGGAACAATTTGTTGTTGAAAAAGTGAGAAATGATGTTACTTTTAATGCTTATGTGTCTGGATCTGTTTTTGTGCTATATTTTTTTTTCAATTACTGTCTGTTCATTTCTAGTACTGCTGTTGTAATCCATCAGTGTCAGACCCTAATATTTGTCTTATGGTCAGTCAAAATGAGGCTTTAGTTGTTGAGAATGAAGCCCAAAAACTTTGTCTTACGGGTACTTTTTACAGCGTAACTTTTTTACTTTCATCGTTGTCGAGGATAATTATTTTCAGTTTGGGAATTGTTGTATAGACAAAATCCTAGATTTAATGACAGGTACTTGTGTTATTTATTTGTGTCCTTTAAACTGTACTTTTTTTATGCTGAAGCCTCGTTTTTCCTGGTGACAAATGAATGTGTGACACTATATAGTTGTGCATGGTCTGCTAACTCGTTTTAGAATAGTGGATATGCAGTCGAACTTGTTTTAATGCCCACCTGTCTAAGATGATCACCTCTGCAAACAGCCACTTTCCATTCCCTCCTCTCGCGTAAAAAAAAAATTTTTTTGGTGGAAGTCTTAGACAATTTCGACTGCAGGTGTTCAGAATTTTTAATTAAGCAGTATTCATTGTCTGTCTGACAGGATCAAAATTTGTTGTGTTGTGCTTAGTAATTATTTTGTGTGTTTGGTTTGGGGGGGGGAGGGGGTGAAAACTAAATTTGAGTTTTTGTTTTTCATTGGCTTGTTATGTTTTCAAAATAATGCTTGATTATAATGAAGATGACATCTCATCATGAAGTTTAATGTTTTTGATTTGCTTAGAGAAATTCCTTGTCTTGGAATATTTTTCAAAACTTTACATCGACTATGAATGAAGTTGACTTACTTGAAGAAAAGGTCATAGTAGATTTTGGTGAAAATTTTGTTCAAACATTTTTGATTTGATTTTTTTGAAAGAGAAAAATCTTGAAACTGTTAAGTGGGCTCAAATAAATGATTTGAAAACAAATGTCAAAATTTAGTTTGATATTTTGTTTTGCGTCACACATCAGTTTTAGAGGCTTATTTACTGTTTACAGTATGTTTTAAAGAGTTAAAACTATCCATAGACTTAGCTGTTGTTGTAAGGTTTCCCATGTATCTGTTTACTGTAAAAGTAGAAAAAGTGAGATTTACTTTCAGTTTACATATATCAGGGTTCCCATTCCAAATAGGAAACTGAGAAAACAAGCAATTTCATTTTCAGATTTCTCGGTTGAGAAAACACCATGAAAATGAATGAGAAGGAAGATGAACGGGAGCAAGCTGAGAAATGAAAGGGCTGCTCATCATTATTAATTTAGCGGAATCATTACCAATTTTTTTGGGGTCAGTTTTACGAAAATACGACCCCTGATACTGATTTTGAAAGATTTATTGGACGTTCAGCTATGCCAACCTGTCATCCCGTCTTTCCCGGCACATAAGAAAAAAACAACGATTAGACCCCAACGGTCTTCGTCACTATGTCACATACAGCTTTCTAACTTAAACTGAAACACTCTCTGTGCACAGACCCCCTTGTAGTCACTCAGTGCCACTTTGCCCTCAGAAAAAACATTAGTTGCGCCAAAGCCAGGAGTAAGACCAACATTAGTTTGACAAGGTGTTAAAAGATACCTGTCTTTTTGTGTTTATGGATGACGGCCCAGGCCAATGAGAGAATAAAAAAAACAAACAGAAAAGCCAGATCAAGTTTGAAACTTGAAATAATCAGCTGCGGCACGCCGCATGGTATATATAGTGATGTACAGTCAGGATCAGAGACGTGTGACATGTCCTGTTGGTTTGTTTTGTTTTTGCAAGGGCCAAGCCGACATCCAGTTACTAGCCCCTGTCCCTCTTTTAGTTTTTTCTGAACTTGACAATGCTGAGCCTGCTGAGACGTCTTTCATCAGGTCTTTGCTTACATTACATTCACCCTTGAATGTACATCCCCTGTCCTTGACACTCCACGGAAAGGGACTATCCATGCATTAGTAAGAATTTTACCTTGCATTTCTTTTCCTTTCTTCTTCTTTGCTCTGTTCTTATTTTTTTAAAAAAGGAAATCACCTTGAAAATGGTTACAAAATCCAGGAGAAAACGGAAATAAATCGGAAATTGTTTTTCTCCTTGAGGGATGGGAGCCCTGATACATATTTAGGGCAGGTTTCTAAATCCTTAAATTAATACAATATTTTTATAAGACTCTTATCAAAACTATCGTGAATAAGTCTTGTTTTCTCACACTTGTGAGATAATTATTTGATACTGCTTTGGTTGTTTGAATCTTGTTATTCAGCTGTTCTGAAGTTTTTGTTTTCAAATTGAACTTATGTTATTTTGCTTACCTACTTATTTTACAATCATGTTTGAAATTTCTCAAAGTTTTAGTAGCTTTATGGCTTAATTTTATGGTGAATGTTTGATGAATAAAAAAGGAATGCAATCCTGTTGAAAGTACCTAGATGTTTACAATATTCAAAATGCCCCCCCCCCCCCCCCCCCATTGGATTAATTTGGTCTGTGCCTATTTTGTATCAGACTTAAATGCAAAAAGTCAAATCATTAGCTAGATTTTTTTCTATGCTCTTTTATTCAAACTGGTGAAATGCTAGTTCTGTCATTCCAAAAAAATTGTTTTTGTTAGTAGTTCATTTGTCAATAGGGTGCCACTTGTCTGTTCAAGGACATTCTTAGCTTTTTGGTCTCTTGCGTAGGATTTTCTTCATCTTCCGTTGTTTTGTTTTTGATGTTTACTTTTGTTTTTCATACAGTCGGGTAAATTCAAAATGAGGAAAGAGATTTTTGTTTAGTTTTGTCCTCAGTGTTGCAAGCACATTCATATACTGTGCTCGTGTTATTTAACCAGAGCAAGAACTTGGCGTTATTTTGTTTGTGAAACAAACACGCAGTATGTACTATATGTACGCACTTGTGGTCTTTTTGGTGTAATGTGTGTGGTAAATTTAGTCTTGGGGTTTTTTTTTGGGGGGGGGGGGGGGGTTTGCTTAAAAGAAATGTTGTTCCTTTCCAATGCTCTTCATAATGCTATGCAGGTACTGTCAATGCAGTTTTTCATGTCTTGTAAATTGTCTCTTGAAGACTCATGTGGAAGGAAATTGTTTTGAAGGCTTCTCTAGAATGCAGTGGCGACATCTCATGAGATGTTATGCCTCTGTTGATTACATGCAATGCTCTTTCTCTCATCAGACTCTCTTTACAGTCGGCCTTGTCAATTGTCAGAGGAGTTGGCTGCAGTGGTTGGAACTAATGAGGTTTGTCAGAAATGTTTAGAGGTTGTCCGGGATGTACATTTATTGAGTTTTATTTGTTCCCTTCCTTCAACTTGAAAAACAACGTTGGCTTAAACATGACTGAAAAATGTTGACCATGGTTTTTTAAAAAACTTTTGGAATGATCTCAACCATATCAGCTTAGATTTTAGGTCCGTTTGCTTACAAAAGTGTTGTTTCTGCTTCAGTTCTGAGAACGCTTTCTGTGCAGTCTGTGGCATCTGTCTGTCGCTTAATGTTTCTTGACCTGCTTATGGTGTGAAGCATGAAATTTTATTGTCTGATTCTCTTACCTTTGATTTATGCTTTTTCATGCATGTTCCTTTTGGTGGCACCTCATCCCCATGACATCTGTTTCAGTAGTTTCTGTCAGTTTTACTTTTTTGTAGAGATGATCAGTGATGTTGACAGAAAAGTAGCCTGTCATGTCATAACCTGTGCTTCATTGGAAGAAGAACACCAGTCTTTTAGAAGTCCAACAAGAATGCATGCTATTTTCATTCATTGAATAATCATACTATGTGGCTTTAGGTGGAGTGGGAGAAACCCATCAAGCTGCTGGATCAATATCGGGTACAGGGCTAATGCTGCTCGTTCACAACGTCATTCATTTCGTGCAAAATCTCTGAGCTGGATGACTTTGGGACATTTAAGCTAACTGGAGTTTTAATTTTGCTGAAGAAGAAATATTGTACATCTTGTTCATATTTTAAGTGTGAGGAAGGCAGCTGGTACCTTGGGAGCAATATTTTAATTTTATCTTTGTTTTGGTTGTTGGATTTTTACATAACTGTTAGTCCATTTTTTGTATACTCTTAAATTTTTCTTGACTTTGGTTTTGGTTTGAGAATGCTTCTCTCGTTTTTTTCATTTTATCATCTTTTTTATTTGGTGCTTCACAATTTTAAGTTTAGAGAATATTCTGTTTTTCTTTTTTCTATCATTTTTCTGGTGGGATGGTAGATGCTTTTTTTTTTTGTGTGTGTGTATGTAACTATTATTATAATCTGCTTCCTTATGATATGTAGCCATAGTGGTGCTGCTGATGATAAAACACCTCAGAGCATTGAAGCTAATGGTGCTTAATTTGATGATTTTCTTTATTGGACCTGCATTTAAATATCATTCATGTGCAATGGAAAACGTTTTTGTAAAGGATGTGAAATGACAATATTTCGCAAATGAAATGGGGGAGTTCTGGTTATGTTCATTGATATTTGCTCTGCTAAAACACATTTGTACTTTGTTAAGAGATTTTTAATTGGGAGAAATAGTGGGGCGATCTTTACTCCTCATTGTATAGTTTTTAAATATGTTGCATCTTTAGCATGACGCTGAATCACTTGAAGTTGTTATTTGTAGTGTCTGGCATTTTTCAGTCTTTTATTGTTCTATTTGTATCTTTTATCTTTTTTAAGTATTAATTTCTTAATTAATGTCTGTATGCTACCTCTTTTCTATCTGCCGTACTCTCTATCCTGTAAAAATGTGAGTATGGATGTGTAGCCATACGTTTGTACTTCTCTTTTGCTTAAACCCTCTCCGTACGCCCTGGGGTCATTTTGTACCACCGGAGTTGTGTTGTTCACATTTTAGAATAGTTCTAATGCGAAGATCTCTTTGAAACTTTCAGTGTTTCTCAAAAAATCAATCTGACAGACTGCTATGCAAAGCGTACGGATCGGATTAACAAGTAAATTTCCTCTTGAGAAAGTGGTGGCACAGAGTTTCCCTTGTCGTATGGATACGATAGTAAAACACGACGTACGGATAGGGCTAAAGATATGCTCAAAGCATAGCAACTGGTTTCAGTAATGCTTTTAAATTCGTGGAAACCCTGTTGTGGAAAAACCCCTTCGATGGGACATTTATGTTTACGATTTGCTTTTTGTTTGGGTTTTTAAAAATTCAAGCTTGGAGTCATTCTGCGCCTCACTGCATCTAGATGATTTTATAGTAGTACATTGCTATTGCATTTGTATAGCTGAGTGGGATTTATTTTACTGTTCAGACTTTTGGGTACTTGTAGGTGTGAAGTTTGCATTAACTGTACTTCTCCTTTTATGGCCTGTGGTTGGTTGGCGGGTGCTCTGGTGTGGTTTGCTTCTTCTTTCCTATCAAACATCTATCATCGTTATCTCCCCTTCTTCTTTTTTTGTTTGTTACTCTCTTGTAACACCTCTAATCTTCTGGCGCTCATATGATCTTATGCAGTTGCGAGCGCCGTAAAACCTCTACTAAAACTAAACTTTTATGGCCTGGCACAGGTTGCGAAATAAAGCGACTATGTATATGTTTTCTACACTCAAAGACCACAAGCTGTCTTGAGAAGAACAATGAAATTATTGTGCTATTATAGAATGGCCTCTTTTTTGAAGATTTTCTAAAAAGATATCTTTTATTTATCTAAATATGGTTTAGTCACATTTATTGTGCTACCTATCTCTATTGCGCAGCCTGTTATGAACTAGACTAGTACTCTGAAGTTTAAGATTAAATTCTGAAATGGGCCAAAATTCTTCTTATAATTTGTCTAAATTACCAGTGCTTGGCTGTCAGACTGGATGTGACTGTGTTTAGCCTTTAAAGTGATCTATTGCATGTTCTTTGAGGCGTTACTACCTGCATAGAAATGAAAATGTACTAATATCTCAACCTGTGTTCTGTCATTTCAATTTCAGATGCCTCGATCAGACGTAGTGAAAACTATGTGGTCGATAGTGAAGGAGAGGAATCTTCAGGTGTGTATAGAAGACCCAAACTGCTTACCTTTTCTGCTATCATTTTCAAAACTTTGAAAAAACCCCAACAAAAGCAAATTAGAAACAAGGAGTGTTTTGTCTGCAGCTTTTGTCCAATTAAAGAAAAAAGATATGACTTGGCTGTATTCCGCTACAGAGATCTGTATGAAAGTACGAGGGGCATCAATAAGTTTTTTACCTATGCATGAAGGAGTGGAGCTAGGAACTTGAAATTTGAACAGGTTCAAGATACATCTAAACTAAGAATGCACACCAATAATTGGGAACTTCCGATGGTCAGTCCAGGTTGTACAGCAGGTAGTTTTGATTAGCACTCTTCATTTTTGTTCACAAAATGGACAAAATTGTAATGAGAGCTGTGGTGCACAGTCTGTACACAATGAAATGTCAGTAGTGTATGGAGATATCTGCCCAAGCTATGATGTGGTCAAATATTGGTGCAAGCGATTCAAATGTTGTAACATGTCCATTGAAGAATACCCTTGAGAAGGTCGCCCTGTCTCAGTGGTGACTGAAGACAATGTTTCAAAAGTCAAGAAGATTGTTCTGAATGACAGGCGCATTACTCTTGGACAACTTTGTGCTGAAACTGGCTTGAGCTATGGATCTGTTGAAACAATTCTTCATGACCATTTGAATATGTCGAAAGTGTCTGCAAGATGGGTGCCCCGTCTCCTTACCCCTCATCAAAAAGAACAGAGAGCACAGTGCAGTCAGCAAATGATTGACATGTTTGATGAAGATCCTGACACCTTTTTTGACTGTTTAGTAACAATGGATGAAAGCTGGGTCTATCACTTCGACCCAGAGTCAAAATCTGCTTCAATGCAAATGGAAAACACCATCTTCCCCCAACCCCTAAGAAAGCCAAAGTGCAGAATTAATTGAAGGACTTTTCAAGGTCTTTCATTGCTGGCAAAAATGTGTTCTTGCGGCTGGTGACTACATAGAGAAATAAGTGTCTACATATACCAAATTTCAAGTTCGTAGCTCCACTCCTTCATACTCAGGTAAAAAACTTATTGATATCCCTTCGTATTCAAAAAGCTGTATTTGTCAAATTTGTGGTTTAGAAATAGAGCTGACATTGTCCTAAATAGCCACCCCTGTTTAAGGAGAAAAAGTGACTGTCTTAGACAGGTGGATGCCTTGGACAGTGTAAGAACAACTGTAATTTCATTTTTAAAATAGGGGTGTGGGGGGTGGGATATGAAACAACAGTGAATTTCTAAAATGTTCTGAAAGCCATTGTGCTTTAATATTTTTGTTGTTGTTTAACGTTTCTTTTTGAAGTCTGCTACTGGGAATGATCCGCTCGTCCCATTACTGTATAGACCTACAGGTACCATGGATGCATTTGGCTGATTATTTTTTTTCAATGGAAACGCAGGGCTAACGAACATCATATATGTTGAAATAAACAATGTATATGTGTTGTAAGCATTCACGCTAAGGTTTTTCGTTCTTGTGATCAAACCATGGGGTTCTAAAAACTGGTCTGAAAAGCAGTGTTGAATGACGTTCAAGTAACACATGTATCCACACAATTGAACCCCTCATAGTTTAATGAAAGAATGTTGACTTTAGTAGGGGAATGTTGTCTCATCAGTAGGTTTTGGAGTCTTATTTAATTAAATGTGAGCACTCTTGGGGTGTCTAATAGGCTTGATGTTCCTTACTGATCCTCGCCCAAAGACATTTAGTTTACTATACCTTGAAATTAAACACAGAATTTAAAAAAAATCATTTCATGAAGTTTTGGACTTTGTGCAATTTTCTAGCAAGTGCATTTTGTGTACGCATTTGTACACTTTTTCATTGAAAAAGCCGGACTTCATATAAATTCTCCCTTTCTGTTGGGGGGGGGGGGGGGCACTGCTGCTGTTCTTAATGTTTGAAAATGTCTTATGTGTTGAAAAAGAAGTTTCCTGTACATGTGGTTGATATAAAATTTAATCAACATGGATTTATTCAGTATTCATATGCTCCTTTGATCTGAGCCATATTTTTAAAAAGGCGATCCAGACTTGGATCTGGTGCATGCCTCAACTGCTATGGGTGTTTACTGTTCTCATGGTTTTTTGTTTTTTTTGTCTTCATCAGGACCCTGAAAACAAGCAGTACATGTTGTGTGATCCTCAGATGGAAGCTTTGTTTGGTGAGTTCTTTTATTCATTTTTTCCCCCAAATGCTGTTTCGTCACCATTACAGCCCCAGTACTGGAAACTTGAATTTACTAGCATATAATCAAGCACAGTTAACACAGACATTGTTAACTCGAAATCGTGGATAGCTCTTAAAATTTGCCATCTCTTTTTCTTCTGTATCGTTTTACTTGAATTATCCCCAACTTGTTTAAAAAAAATTTAACACTTCCAACCAATCATGACTGAAAAAGGGAACAGTTAGCTTGAAAAATTGTTTTACTCAGTGGTGTGGCTAGCCACTGGCGTGAGCCGCCAATGTGATCTTTATTCATTGTTTCTGACATGCTTTCATGCTTTCGAAACTAGGTGGCCGTTGTTACGTTAGAAGATATAGCATCATACACTTATTATCCCTTCATTGTACATTGTGACCCAAAAATAGACCAGACATTTTATATAGGAGAAAATGTGGTGACCCTAAAATAGACCAGACATTTTATATAGGAGAAAATGTAGTGACCCTAAAATAGACCAGACATTTTACAAGAAAAAAAAACATGTTTGCCATTTTTCAGTCATACAATTTTAACCCTGTCCCAGTGACATTTCAAGTCTTATTCCTAGTGACTGGATGTTTTACACCGGTACAGTCTATAGAGAAATATTGACATAAGTTTCAAAGCTTGTGGCTGGGTGGGTTACACTCGTACACCGTAAATGAATAGAAGTTTGTATTGTGGATGGTGAGTTGTATTTAGAATATCACTCCATAATAATAGTCAGTATCTTGTTGTAAGATACTGAAAACAAATGAAAGGCAAAAAAATAGGGGGGTCAGGAGACTTTTGAGAATTAAAGAGAAGGAAATGAAATGAGGCAGTGGTGAAAGAAGTCCACGTGGGCCATACAGTAACACGAACAATTAGGAAGGGAAATGCAGTTTTTTCAACAGTTGATACGACATAAATGTCCTGAACATCGCTCTCACGGGAAAAATAGGTGAAAGAGGCAGATGGTCAGTAGACGAAGAACAACTTACTTAGAGAATTTGAGCTGTGGGTGACTGGGAAAGCATAAGATACCTGTAATATGTTTTTTGAGAGCACCCACACAGAAATGAATGGTGAATCATGATCGCCGATCTCTGTTTCAGGTCTAGCTCTTCATGAAGATGATTTTATGTTATATTTTCATATATATAGGGTATATATTATAATTATATATATGACAACAGACTTTTCTATTCAGTGAGTGCAAACGAAAGGCTAGAAATATATTTATTAGTTTTGAAAGCATAATATGGAAAAGAGTGATCAAGTACATTTAACCTCAATAATACAGTGAAGTGAAGGGAACGCAAGAGTTTTTCGCAGAGGTACATGTTGCGAGTACATGCATATGTGTCACAACATGGTTGAATCAGTCAATTTTTAGGCATATGGGGTTATTGGTATCATCTTAAAGCCTGTTCTTTGGCCTTCCTTTTGGTGGAAAAAAGTATCCATCTATGTTGACTAGAAGTCAAGTTATTTGCGATTGAAGGAGGTCAGGGTCACCTGATTTCAGAGGTAAAATTAGCGAAAAAATGGTCACCAAAGTTTGATAACTGCCATAGCCTGAGAGTCCTTGGAAAATGAAAATTTTCATTTTTTGTGCCTGTAATCAATGTTTTTCAGAAAAGCCATCCAAAAATGTTTTTAAATGGACTTAAAAGGTGTTGAGCCAAAAGAAGAAAAGTAGAAAAAATTGACCATCGGGCCCCCAAAAATGCTGATTTCTTTGATTTAATTATTTTGACGAGTGCCTGATTTCACCACGATGCCTCACATGTTGTTAGTATTTCCTTCAGTGGGCACTTGCAACCACACACACTCCCCCCTCCCCCCACAAACGCATGCGTGCATGTGAGCACGCAGTGATTAATGATGTGGATAAATTTTATTATTGCTCTGTAGCCTTTCCTGCCGCCACCATTTTTACCACAGTAGTTGACGTAAATTAAAATTATTAGTATGAGCAGGGGAAAGAACTTTGTTGTCCTGTTGTTTTGTGGTCCTGGCGGTATAACTGATCTTTGGATGAGTTAATCCTTTTTCGTAACCACAATGACATTAACTTATCTGTAGTCAACTGTATCAGTCCAAGATATGTCTGAGAAACATTTATTTACAACAGTTGTCCTTAGCCATGTACTTATCGTGGTGCAAGTCATTTAAAAACTCATGGATCAACTGGAAATGTTTTTCTTCACAAACAAGTATGACCCAAAAACTGGTCTTGACGTACATGTTGTATTTTATTGTACAAAAAGTCTGGTTTATTTTTGGGCCATGACGCTCCAGTTGCTAGTAAATAATGACAAATTGGGAAGGTTAAAAGGAAGTTGTCTAGGTCTTTTTTATTACTATGTACTATAGTTTTATTATATTCTTTTCAGGTGTGAAACGGTTACGGACTTTTGCTATGATGAAGTATCTGAAAAAGCACATTGTGGATACCCATCGATCATAGCTGGATGTTCGTAGCTTCCGCATGTGAACTCATTTGAAGGAATGGGATTATGATTGGGAAACCATTGAGAACATGAACAGCCGAACGATGCGAATGCTGTTTTGTTTTTTTATTTTAGTTTTTGGTACTACTTTAATATTCATAAGCACTTAGAAAAATCAAAATTGTAATAAAGTAGAGAATGCATTTCATTTAGTAATATATATATGATATGTCTCATTTTTTCATCCATTATTTTTTAAATAAATTTTGTTGTTGTCAAAAGTCGGTCACCACTTACGCTAATGCTATCATTCCTTTCCTTTAGCTGGAATATCTATTGTTTTGTTGGTGGAAAAAAAAAGATATGGAGAGATCAGATATTGCTTTCAAAGTCAAGCACAACATGTGTGTGTCTGGATTGCTTGACTGTGCCATACATGTACCTCTTTTGCCTGTTCTGAGAATTGGTTGCTAGCAACATACCCTTTTCTAGTAGAGTTAATTGTCGTTCCTTTGTTTGTTTTTTTCCTCTTGTTTATTTTAATTATGAAGCACAAAACTCTTATACTGCTTTCAGTAATCATTACTTTTTATCTGAGAATGTTATCTCTTTGCCCAGTTCTTAGGCAATTTGCTGGATTATGTATTGCCTTAAGTCAAACTATCTTGACTGTACTGTGCTGAGAGTCATTAAAATCCTCATGTTGATCCATGTTTTACACTTAAAACGTTGACATTGTATGGAAGTCATGTTTATACATATATGTAGGGGCCAGTGGAAAAACCAGATAAGTCACATTTTAAGAAAGTGAAAAAAAAATGGAAATTAAAAGTTCGAAAGTAGGCTACCTGATTGTGAGTATAACATTTCTTTTACATTACATAGCTAGCTGGGTTATCCTTGGAATCATTTGTTGAGAAGAAATATAGATCTAATATTGATTTTTAAAGAGTGCCACAAGGGCAAGAACTAATTTGATAAAATTTGTGTGGTTTTTTCCGCTGGAGTCTTCTTACACATTTATTAGACATAATTTTATGTCAAAAGCGTGACTTACTCATCAGAATGTGTTCTTCCATCTGTTAAATTGGCTCTCCCATGTCAGTTGAATTTTAAAAAAACCAATGAGTTTGTTTGAATTTAAGTTTTGCTGAGAAAGGCTATTCATTCATTGTGTTAATAAAAAAATTTCATACTTCAAAATGCACCATTTACTCTTGTTGTGTTTGGTATGTGTGTAACTCTCTACTCTATAAAATGAGATCTTTTGCTGACTAAGCTTTTTTTCCGCATTCTGTGATGTTATTGTTAGTGGTTGATAAATATAGGACATGAGTGATAACAATATCAGCTGATTTGGGGTCAGATTGTCCAGACACATGTAAAGGGTTGATATTATGCATGTGTCAAGTTTGTAGTGGTCCAGGGAATTATATTTATGAGGCATTTGTTGTACATGTAGCATTTATGGTTGAACAGTTAAGTAAGGTAATCATACATGTACTATTAACAGCAGCGGTATGTGAAGACTTTTCACTTTTATACTGAACGGATGAATCTCTTGTTATGTATTCACACAGAGTGAGAAGCTGGCAGTAGTGAAAACATTACATATCCTCTGCTTTTTTTTTCTTTCGTACAGTAGTTTAGAGTTTTTCTTGTTTCTGCTAGTAGTGACAGGGGATAGATGGGTGGTGGGAGGGTGCCACTGGTAAGTTCTACATCTTTTCTTTCCCCTGAGATGTTTTCTGTCAGTCTTACTTTTTCCCAGTACTAGTACTGATGTGCTTCTCTTTACTTGAATAAGTGTGTAGTTGGTGGGTGCTCTGATGTGGTTTGCCCTTTCTTTCCTATCAAACATCTATTGCCCTTACCTCTCCTTCTTTTCTTCGTACATTTGTTACTCTACTCTCTAATAATACATCTAATCGTCGGCACTTATACGACCTAATTTTGTTGAAAGTGTTGTAAATCTTTAACTGAAATTTAAAAAATAAAACAAAGTCCCACTTCTTTACTTTCCCTTTGTTATTTCTGTCTGTCTTACTTTTTCATGGAACTAAATGACTATCATTGTGCTGATGTGTTCTCTTTACTCAAACAAACATGTAGATGAGTGTAACAGTGTCTGTGGTGTAGCGAATATGTGCTTCGCTGTTGCACGAAGGCAGTGCCACTGACTGTAATGTCTTTAGGCCATTCCCAAAGGGGGGACATTTTTCGTTCAAGCATAGTAGTTGAAGTAGAATTGTAAATGGGCTGACTCATGTCACGCTCATAACTGTGCCTGATCTACAACAGTGAACTGTTGCTTTTTCTTTCCTGATCCTTACTATTGTCATTTTCCTCTACTTCTTTTGTATGTTTGTCAATCTCTTGTGACCTGCTATTTCCGGGGTGCCTTGACAGTCGAAGCAGAGCCCCACCTCATAAATGATGTAACTTGTGTTAATGGGAGCGTAAAAACGCCGACATTAAAAACCTCAGAACTTACAGATTTTAAAAAATCACCAAATAATAAAAAAAATTCTTCCTTTTTCTAAAAACTGGAATTGTAAACTGATGTCTGTGGTGTAGTGGTTAGGCACTTCACTGTCGCATGCAGGAGACCTGAGTTCGAATCACAAGTGGGGAGAATTTTTATCAAGTTTCTCTGTCATTCTGCTGGGATGTCTCTGGGTCAGGGTTGGCCCTGACAGGCAGCATTGAAGACTGACTCCCTAATGATCTAAATTGTGTTGGATAGAGGCGTAAAAGATAAAAGTTTTGGAGTCCAGAGAAAAGAAAAACATCGTACTAGTACTCGTACTAAAGAATTAGAATTCTAATAGAACCGAATTTGTCATTATGAACAAATTCTTCTGTATCCTACAGCACTTGTTGTATTGGAGAAGTGGATCTCTAAGCAGCTTCCACGGATAAAATTATGTGTCTTACTTACTTTGGTCTGATAAAGTGCTTTTCAGTCAGATATTATAACTGTCTTCTTTGTATCCCCGATCTCATCGTACTGTAGAGAAAGGGAGGAGACTGATCATAACTGATAAGATAATTTTTTTGGAGTCCTCTTGACATCATCTTGAGCAAAGTCTATTGTACGTTCAGACCACATGACTACTCTACAATCATATGGCCGGGATACATTATATTAGAGTTAGAGATAAAAGGAAGTGAAGGCCTTCAGGATAGTGTGCGAACATAAACACATTTATATATATATATATATATAATATACATGTATATATATATATATATACATGTATATATATATATATATATATATATATATATACTGTCGAACCTACTCTAATACTCACCAGTATATAAGCCAATCACCTGCACTAACAGCCACCCCCCTCCCTTTCATTAAAAAAACAACGATATTTTAATGACACTGTATACGTTATTAAGACCTCCACCCGTCTACTCTAAGATAGCCAATTTTCTGTACAATTTTGACTGTATAGATACATCCAGAGATAACTCTTCGGGTGTACAATTCCAGAAAGGGAAAACAATGACAAAACATGTGCTTGACCATAGTGCATTGTACAAATGTAGTTGTAGACAGAGAAAAGGGATAACAAGTATTATGCATTATCTCTCTCTCTTGTCCCTTTTAACTCCCAGTGGAGCACAGGCCATCAACATTACTCCAGTGAAGCTTGTTCTGAGCATCCTTCTCTAGCTGTTTCCATGATGTCCCCGCTTTTTCAATTTCTGCTTGTACCGCTCGACTCCATGTCATCTTTGATCTTCCCTTCTTACGTTTTCCTTGTGGGTTCCACGTTAAAGCCTGCCTGAATTATGCATTGTACAATGGATATATTGAAGAGAGAAAAAAAGAACATAACCAGCCAGGGGACATAAAACAAACAAAAAATGTGTATATATGAAAATGATAGCTTTTTCCTTCCAACTAAAACCTTCTCTGCCTCTCCACGTTTACTTCTACTTCTACCAAAGTCGACACAGTGCCCCTTACAAATAATAGTGGAGATCTTTATGCCTCACCTTGTATACAATATTGTTAAAAAGGGATGGAAATGAGGTCAAAGTTTTTGTGCTTGGTGGTATAGAGTAGAGTAATAAACTATTATATATTATGGAAATCTTGTTTGTATGTACCGTACCTGTTCGTGGATACGGTGTAGTTTGGTGGGGTTAAAAAAAAAAGGGGGGGGGGGGGTGAGGCGTGTGGAACAGTACTGAACATCCTTGTACAAAGTATGGGGGTCTGCAAAAAGAGAAAAAAAAAGTAAGTGTGTGTGGATTTTGCTTAGTTTTAATGTATGGGTTAAGTGCCGCTATCAACGCATAGAAAGTAATAGCGAGAGAAAGACTAGATCTACATATATATATATATATATAGCCGACATGTACTGACGATCAAAAGAAAAGTATCACGTTTTGATTGAGTTTAAAAAATATCGTCTTTTGAGTCTTTACGCTTTAATACTTTTCACATGAGTAGTACAAAGTACTGTGAAAAGGAGGTAATGTCATAAACATAACATTTTGGTACTTCAATTTTTGTTTATAGCACCCATGTGAAACTGAAACAAGAACAACAAAATTCGGATTTTGTCCTCGACCACATGACTCCAAATAAAAAAAAAAAATTAAATTAAGTTTAGGGTCTAGATCTGTGTTCACTTAATGTTAAAGCCACAATAACATTTGATAACTGTCACCCAAAAAAAGACGGTACCTTTAACTCAAGATCAGAAAATCAAGCCATCGGCATGCTCAGCGGTGCGGTGCGAGGACATTCATCAATATTATTCAACGTCAGGCGTAGGACAATCAGCCTTTTGAGACAATGGTAGGTTGTGACTTGGTTTATTCAAGACCAACTCAGAACTGGTCCTTAAAGGGCAACAATGCCTGCTCAAGACCGATATATTACATCAAGACAGTGCACCTGATAAATCGTCTCAATCCGCAAGACAATTTCCTGTGTACTTTTACTCGTCAGCCAGCACACAGTAGGCCTACATCACAGACTGAAGTGATTAAAATTAAAGACTAGTGTTACTGGGTTGCCTGCACATAGACTATGAATATGACATTTATTGATAGACTACGTTTACAGCTCAAACACCGTAAGGCGAGGATGAACTGAACACCGTCTGTGGACCCAGAGCAATGCGACACCGTCCCCGCCTCGGATGATTTTTACTTCCAATTTGAACTCCACGATGGGAGTATAAAAGTGTACAGGAGACTACATGTGCACTCTCTGTTATTTCTTTAACAACACAATCAGCCCATGACATCCCAACAAGACAATGTGCCCGTGCACTCCACTCCGTATGGTTTTTGTTTGTTTGTTTTTCATATATCTAGAATAACGTCGCTGTACTGTAATGGAGTCACGGCCTGTCCTTTCACCAGGTTTGAACCCAACTGAGCACCTGTGGGACAGGATTGGCTGTGTTCATTTGACGTGAATCTCGGTTCCAGAACCATTTTAGTTTTACAGCTGCAGCAAGCCTTCACCAATGCCTGAAACACTATTTTGCAGACAGAATTGGGTGCTCTATGCGCAGGAGTTACACTGATGTGCTGATGCTCAGGGACATCACGCGGTGTAGGCTACCAATGTGTGACTTTTGGATTTTACTCCTGTTGTCTAAGTTTACTCACAAAAGAGACGTTTTCGTTGAAAAACAATCATTTCACCTTGATTTATATCTGTCAAATATTTCATATTTCAATTTCGTTGTCGAAAATTATTTTTTTTCTAAAGGAAAGACGAACAGATCAAACATAAAAGGTGGTACCTTTTTGTGATCGACAGTATAATGTAAGATGGTACATGTATGTAGAAAGGGATGTGTTGATAGACAAATCCTTGTGCCTGTATTTTATTCTGAGATTGAAATGGTGAGAACTCGCGTCCGTTTTGTAGTGGTCAGGCTTTTCACAGTCGCAATCAAGTGGGTGATTGGCGGTCGCTCTAGTGGGATTTGCTCCGTTTTTCCTATCAAACGCTTATCGTCCTTCTCTCCTCTTTTCTGCGTTTATACTATCTTGTAACACTTCTAATCTTCGGCACTTACATGACTTAATTGTGTTACAAGTGCCGCAGAACTCTTATTAAAACAAAACAAACCAAATAAAAAACAAAAACAAAAACAGCCACACACAGAAACGCGAGTTTGATTCCTGAGAGGCTGTGTTTTATTGCTATATCTTCCTATTGGAAT